ATTTTCTAAGAAAAAGAACTCAGGTTTAATTTATGAGTGTGGCTCGTCTCATTGGACTCATAGTGGTGCGGTGACTGCATCTAGCCATCCCCTTCTCCGGTGAGTTTTCGTATGAGAGTTGCTATTCTAGGTCTCACAGTTGAGCGGCTCTCAATACTATTGCCCTCCATGGATCTTTGCAGTGGTGAAGCAACTTCCATGGAACAGCCAAGTTGATGGCCCTAAGAGATGTAAAACTGACGTTGTTTGCACCTTGTCCGCAACATCTGAGAAGAGCAAGACTAGTAGCAGAGAAGGATGCCAAAATCATGCTGACACCGCTAAGGCGCTAACAACAAAAATGCAAGTACCAGACTACCAGTGGCGAGCCTAGAGAATAATGGAGCCGACTTGGTTTCGCGCATATACGAAGATCCAACGGCATTGCAAGTTGCAACAACGTGTAAATTGACAGGGCAGCCATGAAAGCAACAGCTTCAGAATTTGGCAGACTCGTATTCCAGATGTATCCCAAGCCTAAATGACGTCTTCCGACGATCACCGGCTGCCTAGATCTACTGTCGCTCATATCTCCCGAACCTTGGTCTAGCTAGTTAGCCTCAGGCGGTGGGAGCTATTGCATTCCTTCGGTAAACTCAGTATTGCTCGCCAGCAACCTCACTGTGTTGCCTTTTAACTTGCAATGCCAGGAGAATGGTGTGCATGTGCAGCAACTCAAGCATTGCACGATCAGGGTCAGTAAGCACATGGAGCACATACCATGCTTAATGGATGTACAGTGTCCTAGCTTATGAGATTTCCAAAAAGATGCAAAACTGCAATTACTTTTACAAGTTCTTGCAATGTGCAGTGCCTTACTCAGGGGTTTTCCCATGACGACTCCTCATTTTTCAGTTTGAAGATCAGATTTACAAATTATAAAGCCAATTGAGAACTTTAGAAGGCCAGCAATTTGCCCTTTTTTCTGGTCATACAGACACAGAGCTTGCTGGCTTGTACTAGCTCGCATTACAAGCACCGGAATGCCCTCCTACCTTTGCCGCCATGAGTGCGGCAGCCACCAGTGCAGATATATCCAGTTGCAAGGAACCCACTATCAATGGTGCAAATGTACATCACTACGTATCTCCACGCATATAATGTATGCATTTTTCTTTTTTGCAGAAGCGGAATGGCATGTCTCTACTATGAATAGTTAACAGTTTCTAAGCTCTAACTAGCAGAAACCACAAAGAAACAGCTTGCAAGCGCTGATCTAGTGAAATCATCCGGGCAAGTCGATGCCTTCTAGGGTCTACGCACAAGAGAGTAAACGATACTGTTCAGTCCTCACCATTTCAGGGTGGCTGCCAACTCCAAGAGAGCTTCCACTTGACATATAGTCCGCAGCTTCTCTTGCTGTTTCAACATGGTCGCAACAGACTCTGGGTCGTATCCAGTTTGCAGCTTACTCTTTTCTTGCTCAGCTTCAACTTCTTTCAGCAACTCATCGACTTCCCTCACAAAGTCAACTCTCAGAAGCACGTCATCGTCCTGGGGAGGCAGCTTGATCTGCCCATCATACTGAAAAGAAAAACGACGAAAAACTTAAATTTCAGAATTTTTCTGCAGCATCTAAGAACCATGATGATATAGAGAAGTAATTTGAGCAGGAAATTCAGAATCCAATTAGGGAATGGTAAGTTTAAAAGTATGAACTGATAACAGGACAACTGGTGATCTTTGGAGTCAATTTACCATGAGAGGTGTGATAATAATATCATTGCCCTGCAATACTTTATGTTCTTTTTCATGTAAAATTTGCTTTAAGGGAACATGCATTTTTAGGTGTCAATGGTTTATTAGATGTACAACAGCTTGGCAAAGCTATGTTAACTGGCATTAATAGGATGGCTCATACGTTACGGGATTCCATTAATTTTAAACATGGCTGAGTGACTAACTAGGAGGACTATCCATGTAAGTAAGACGCTTTTTTAATTTTCTCTTTCATAAATTATCACACCCGAGTGTCGTCAATTCAAATACGGCCAGTTTCATCAAGAAAAGGGGGCCTTGTGTACAACTAACATACTTTTTCCATGTCGAACCCAGGAGGAAAGACCATGGTGAATGGGTCCTCTCTTGGAAAAACTTCAATCATGTGCTTTCTACATGCCTTGAGCCATTTGTCATCGTCAGAGCCATCATGAATATTCAGAAGTTCATCAAGTAATCTCATGGCGGGAGTTGCTTCACTTCTTAAAATCTCAGTCTGCATTAAAGTTTCAATTTCTGATTAGAAAGTTGCAAACTAACGAGACCGTTAAAAACAGGGAAAATTTAAATAATCAACACTTGTGGGCAGAAACCTCTAATAATAATGCTTAATGAAACTCATCTAGATAAGATACAGAACAGATATTCCACTTACCTCTACCCTTCTGTACAAGAGATCAAGGCTTCTGATGGCATCTTTCTCATCCTGCAGGTAGAATAGAAGGTCAGATAAACAAATATATACCAACTTTGCAATTTACAATCAAGGGAACTTCTCAGATACATTTCTGCAATGAGGACAAGTCAAAATAAATAAATAAAGATCAAACGTTGAACAATCGAGAAAGGAAGATAAAGACCATGAAACGAAGGAAACCGTGTCTTACAATGAGATGCCAATGCAATGGACATGCTCTAGCAATTCAAATCAATGCCGACATAATGCTAAACAGATTAACACAAAGAGACAAAAACAATGACAAAACTATATATGAGATACTAAGATTGTGGGAGCTCCCTCAGGTGTTTCAATTTCTTGAAAAATTCTTCAAAGAAGAATGACTGCACGCTTTAGTATTATGCAATCTCAAATCCACTTTTACTCAATCAAATGGTTCTACAGGCACCTTCGACGGGTTTGTTTATGGGTAGTTCCTTTTAAGATATTTGTACTCCCTCTGATCCATATTAATTGTTGCAGCTTTAGTGCAACCTTAGTATAAAGTTGTACTAAAGCTGCGACAATTAATTTGGATCAGAAGAAGTACATAGTTTTTTCTTTACCCGCGGCATGGAAGTAGTGAACTAACAAAGCATAAAGCAACGAATACTTTTGATAACAAAAGTTCAATTACCAACATACAATAGGACCCTGTATCACACAGTAGAAGGCTACAAGCTTGAAGTTCTATTCTAACTGATAGGACGTGAACTGTACATAAAAATAAACAATCCATAGGACCTATAGGTAACATGACTTAGAACAGAGCTTTTACATACATCACGCCGAGCAACATCAAGTCGATTCCAAATGACCATGAGAACAAGCTCGGTAAGCTCTCCTCTTTCAGCAGCCTTCTCAATTACCTGCATATAGATGTACAATGCAAATTAAATCAAATATTTCATAAAATAAGTTTTTGACAGTTGGCTTCGGCACATATACTTAATTTAATAAATTTAGGAAACATAACTTCGAACTTCCTTTTCCATGATTTTGTTTTAACGGTGTTCGAATTTCCATATAAACAAATATGACAATTAAACTTGGATGGAGCATGCCACTGAATGCACGTGCTAGAGCGTCACAGACACAGGTGTGAGTAGCAGTAGTTAATCCTCAATATGTTATTAGATACAGCTACATACTCATATTACGATCACTCCTAACATCAAAATATTTTCTAGGTTACTGAACTTGACCAAAAGTCCAGACTCAAGAGTGGGTGCTTCGTCCTTTTGGATTTAAATAACTCGTGTAAATGCATTTTCCTTCCAGACTTACCAGTTATAAAGTAGTGTCTAAACCTGTAACACTTGGTTAAGATCCATAAATCATGAATTTGCTCTGTTGGATCACAATTTTCCCATCTGTTAATGTATTTTGTGTAGTTCCCTTAATTGTTGGTCCAGAAAAAAGGAAGGGAGAGAAACAGGGCATAGCAGTAGGGTTTAAATTTGTAAGAGTCCAAATGAAGAACTGATATACCTTCTCAACATCTTCACCAGCTCTTATGAAACTTGAAACTAAAACCCTAGCTTTACAAACTTCTTCCTGTGGGTATGCTTTCATACGCATCCCAATCTCTCGGTATTCACTTGATTTTGCTTCCTCCTCGGCTTCCTCTTTCTGACGATATGCATGCCATTCCTTAGTCCTCTCCCGCTGATTGGCTTGCCACTCCTGCAAGTGGAAGTACAGATGGTGCACAAGTTACAGAATTCTTTTTGCTGCTGAAGTTAAGTAAAATTGTAAAACCATGGATGTGAAAGCTCAACTCACATAAGTATAATCCCCGCACCCACTCACCCACCCACCTATCCCCAAACACACGCACAAAAAAACTCATATAAGTCTAGACAATGAACTGAGATTAACAGCAATGATGATTGAATATGTGAATCAGACGGAGATGTATGCTCATTGCAAGATGTTAGGAGAGATAATACCAATTTTCAAAGGTAAGCGAAATAACAGAAGAAAACAAACAACATAAATTATGCTCCCAACAGACCAGTTAATTGCTCACGACAGTTTTGCAGCTAAATGTAGCAAGGGTATTCGTGTGTTCAACTCATCACTTTGGGGTGAATAGAGATGTGTGGCTCCGATACAAATAGCATGTCACAATTCCATGTCAGCTCAAAGTAGGCTGAGTCATGTGTGGGTGAATCCCCTCGTGATGATTCTATATAAGCTAGAGAATAGGAAAAAAAAAGTATGATCAGAAAACGATACGGAAGGACCATCGACAATGCATATCCAGTACCCTAATGATGCTGATTTGTCATTCTTGTTGTTCCAAATGAACAGCCAGAGATTGTAGGACTTATTAAAACTATTATTGTGCGGTACAAAGCACCGCTGCCCACTCCCCAAAACACACAGATGTGCTAGTCCAGGACCTTGCAAATGGGATTAATAACAGGATTGGCTAATTGTGGGACATAGAAGAAATTTCATTGTGGAATTGCAGATATAACTAATGTCCCAAGCAAAAGGTCAATATAGCTGTGTATATACATATAAAAGGACCAAATCCCATCGACCCGCCAAAGGGGCAGAGTTTATTATAACCACAAGTACGCGCTCCGTGTGCGATAAGAGCAGCTCATGCTTGCCCGGAACCTGCACGGCGAAATGCCTCTGAGAACTACTCTACTCGCCATACCTCATCGTAGAACTCGGAAGGCATCCCCTCCAGCTGGACCTCGTCGGCTGCCGCGGCGGCACCCTTGGTCTTCTCCACAGCTGCAGCGGGAAGTGGAAGAAAGCTGAAGCGAATTTCGTAAGAGAGGCGGGGCCGAGATTATTCGAGGTCTCGCACCTGAGACGGGGGAGAGGGGCGCGGCGGGCCGGGCAGGGTGCAGACGAGACGGAGCGGGGCGGCGACGGTGGAGAGGCGGCGTGGAGGAGGGGAAAGGCGGGGGCGGCCGCGGCCGGAGGAAGGTGGGAAGCGCGGGCGCCGCGGCGGCCATCACACGGAGGAGTCACGAGCTTCGCCGGTGAGCGAGCGTGCGGTCGGGGTTTTGGGGGGATTTTGCGGATGAAACCCGAGCCGACGGAGAATGCAGTGATGCTCGCACTTGGCCGCGATGGTGCTTGTCATGACTCATGAGCCATTTTTGGAGCAGTAGCAATATCTGGAAAAAAAAATTATATGAGATCGGGTCTCACGGTTAGGACGGTTAGCAGGTGAGACCCGTTCTGATGAATGATACATGGCATTTACAAATCACAAAGCATCTAATCTCTTTTCCTCCTGATTTTAAGTGGGTGATAGGGATGCTTTGAGATTTGTGAATGTCACGTATCATTTATCAGGATGGCAATAATAACTGTATAGATCTACGATAATACTAGCTGACGAACATTTGCAAATTGTCAGGCAAACATTCGCAAATGCCACCCTCTCTGGCGAATGTTTGCCAGTTATGGGCATCCTGAATGAGAGTGGATTTTTGAAACTTGAGTGTATTGTAGGATTTTATTTTAAATACTTTGAAAATCACATTTAAGTTTTCAAAAAAATCTGAAAAAAATTCTACGTGATCATATGGATGTATGTTACACATGTGTAAAGTTTGGTGATGAAATACGTAAATATGTGACCTATACAAAAATGACAAAATGGGATATCAAAATAGTGAATAATGCATGCACTGTTCATCTTTCCCAAATCATGATTTTGTCATTTTTGTGCAACTCACATGGTTACTTATTTCATCATCAAAATTTACACATGTGTAATATAAATTCATATAAACATGTGGATTTGTTTTCAAAAAAAATTGAAACTTCAAAATAGCATTTTGGCATAGTTTAAAAAATAGGGCTCCAATGCACCTGGGTTCCAAAGTGACTTTTTGCATCCTGAATCTATAAATTGGAAATGCAAATGCCACAAAAGTGACATTAGGCTTATTGTGTATCGCATGTTGGGTGATGCTGAGGATGTTCACGCAAATGTGTTACTGCCCAATGTGTTTGATGGGCAAATTGTGGATGTTCACCCCAGCGTGCGTAGGGCATCTCCAAAGGTGAAAGTGAGTGTTGCACGTGTGTATCCACAAAATAGCAATGAAAAGCATATTAATCGATCATATACAGGCATAACAAACAAGTAGTACAGAAAATATTGACGGAAGATCTGTCCGGGCAAGACATATTATCTGGATGACTTAATTGATGCTTCATGATTGTACATTTATTGTATCTGATCTACATTTGCATTCAATATTATTTCCCCTCATATAATATCGTATGTACATTTTTGGGTCTCGCCAAGGCTTTTTATAGAACATTTTATTCTCCGGGGAAGTATAAGTCCCATCCAACCATTGATTTTCCACGGCATTATGATATGTTTACATTCGCTTATTTTTTTCCCTTTTATAGACTGTATTTTTTTGTAGATGTGTTTTAGTAAAAAAAATAGCGGATCACTCTAGTCTTTGGGGCTCATTTGCTAAGACCAAAATTGCCCCACCGTTCTGATCATTGTCATAGTTTTGTCGCTCTTCAGCTGCGAGTCATGTGGGCTAGTTGTGGTATCAAAGCTATCGAGTCGATGTGGTGAACGTAAATTTTAACAAATTCTTTAGAAAAATGAAAAGCTTCGGTAAACTGAAGAACAACATCAAAGCATTATATCAATTCTAATGAAATCTAGTAGAAGAACTAGATAACGGATGGGCATGCAAAAAAAACTACGAAGTAAACAACACATTGGAAAACATCTTAATCACAGTAACTGAAGAGAAATATGCTAAGGTGTTGTGAGTGAATCTAATAAGTTAACCAGGGTCAAAGTCTTCACAGAGTGAAGAGAGTACAACACTTTAGTGAAAATCTAAGCAGCGAAACGGAATAAAAGGTAATCTGGTGTCTTCGCTACCATCACAGAGAATGAGGAAGGGGAAATTCTTTGAAGTTTAGTAGATTATAGAAAGAAAAG